GGGGGGGGCGGCCGGGGGGCGTGCCGCCATGTTGGGAGTGGCCAGGCAGGTCACCCTTAAAGGGCCCGCGGGCCTAGGACTGCAGGGAGAGGGCCTGTTACCATGACAACACCCTTGTCCTCCGCCCCCAATGGGTCCTCATCCCCCCCTCTGGTTTTTCCAACGCTAAGCTCGCTAATAGCACCAGAAGAGTGGGAGAGGGCAGAGGAGTTCCCCTTGGGTCATTCATAACTCATTGAAGACTCCACCACCCAGCCAATCCCTAACTTCTAGTCACCTGTCCCCAGTCAACTACCTTCCAACCACAAGCTCATGCCCTCTGTCCCCATTATCCACAGTTGACCTCTTTTGCACCTCCATGTCCCTAGAGCTCTCTTGGTTGCCTATCTACACCCAGCCCTCAGGGTCACACCCTCCAGGACTGTGCCATCAGACATGCATCAAGACCTGTTGTCTTCTCCCATCCACATAGTCAACCACCCACTCACTGATCCCTATACATCAACCATTTACCTACCTATCCAACCAACGATTCACCTACTCATCCACTCCTCCATCCATCCATCCATCCATCCATCAACTCACCCATCCATCCACACACCCACTCAACCTATCCACTCACCCCCCATCCATCCTAGCCAACATCTGGTCCCATCAGCTGGCTCCTCCCCCTCCCATGTATCCACACTCATCACTATCCCATTTACCTGTCCAACCATCCACCACCCAAATACTAAGGACACATACAACCAAACAAGTATCCAACTATCCTAATACACATCCTTCTACCCAGCACCCAAAATCATCCATCAATTGCATGTTCGTCTGTCTTCACTAGAGAGTAAGCTTCATGAGGACAGAGGTCCCTTCGGCCTCTTCCATACTAAAATATTTTCTCATTACAGAGTCTCAGAAGACCTCGAGCAATGTACATATAATTTTTGTAATCACGTACTCAGTTAATTGAAATATTTATTTCCTACTATGGGCCAGGCATTTTCTAAGCAGGCAAACCCAACCTGGTTAACCACCTATCCAACTACTCACCTAACTGGTCAAACAGCTAGCAAATGCTCACCTATTCATCTACCTATTGTATCCACCCTACCCTTCACCTATCCAATCATCCATGATTCAAATGCCTATTCCTTTATCCAGCCATTACCCACACAGCCCAACAACCTCCACACCTACTCTGCTTTCTTTCCTTCCCCTCGTGGACCCATGCTCTCCCTGCTATCATGGAGCTAGTTTGGGTTTTCGAGAGCCCAGGAAGATTCTCTCAACTGGGACATGAGAATTGGTAATAGTAGTGGGGAATCCATTCTTCAGTAAGAAGCAGTGGCTGTTCCATAACAATGATAAATACTTTTCTTTATTGAATACCTTTACCCATGAGTCTCTACTGTGTAAGAGATTTTAGATCCATTTTACCGATGAGAAAATGGGGGTTCTCAGGTCGTGAAGGCCCACGGCACACGGCTAGGGAGAATCTGCTTACATTGCCCTCTCTGTGAAACCTCCAACTGGGGGAGCGTTTGGGAGAGCCGATGGGAGCCGGAGGTTGCTCTCTGATTAGTAAAAGTACCAGAGTGATTGGCACCTGCTGGTCCACTCCCCATTGCAGGCCACAAAGAGTCAAGCACCGCCCCCCTCCCCCAAGAGGGCTGTTGTGTTGCTCCCAGACCTCTGGGGTGGGTGGTGCAGTGGGCAGCTCAAGTGGTGTCTCCATTGACACAGGGTGTTTTGAGGGGCAGGGGCTGGCTCTGGGACCCCGATATTCTTGGACGAAGCTGCAGGTTCTGGACAGCATCTCTCAGCTGGGCCTGAGTACTCTCCATCTCAGACAGGCGGTGTTCCTGGGGAGGGAGCGGCAGTGGGCTGGGAGCCAGGGGAGGATTGCTCTCTCACCCAAGCTGCCCCACCACCCAGGCCTGTCCTAGGGCTTGGGCAGAAGTCTCACCAGCCTTTTCAGCCTGTGGTCCTCACCGCTCTGAAGGGGGCTCTCCGAGGTCCTACGGGGGTCAAGGGCAAAGGGGTAAGGTCAGAGGTTAAGGAAGATCCTTCCAGCTCTAGGTTGGAGAGATAGGCATCCAGAAGGCGGGGCTTAGGGAAGAGGCGGGGTTTAGTGAGACTGAAGGGCGGGGCCAAAATATGCCCGAAGAAAGGTCTGGTAGGAGCACTCAATAGTTGGGATGAAGGGAACCAGCAGTTAGCGTAATGGCTATGTCGCTGGACTCCCATGTAGTCGACCGCGGTTCGCGTCCTAGACCCAGTGGCTTAAAACTCATGCCGGGCGCGTGTGCGTGAGTGCCCAAGATCCCGAGAGGAGAATGGAGGAGAGGGGATTGCGGCGTGACCATCCCCCCTGGGGGGTGATTTCTCGCTTTCTGTCTCTATGTCTCTCTCTGTCTGGCGAGCGCACGCGCCCTACAGTGAAAATCTCTAAAAAAAAAAAAATAGTTG